TCTCCAAGAAGAGAGCTTTAAAAAGCATAAAGGAGGACTCTTCACCACCTTCCTTCCCCCTGCCCAGCAATGATTTTGTCTAACTGTTCTTGTCAGATGTAAGGAAGCGAAGCGCCTAACATGGGCTGCACTGCTCAAACTACCGCGAGCTCCCTGTTCATGTCAGCCCATACTGGCTTCCACAGATGGGAAAATCCGGACAGCAATTTAACAAAATGGAGTCAGGAATCCCACAGTCTTCATGACAACATGAAGAAACAAAAAGCTGTTGGCAAGGAATAATAAATTCCCCACTATTCAAGAAGCTCAGATTGAGAAGTAGTACTGCAAGGTTCCTTTCATCCAGGTAGGGAATTTCAAAAGAAGTCTAAAAAAACCTGTCAATATTCTCCTTAGAAACACTGCTCTGAAAGTCTTTCACTTTGGTGTTAGGCAACATGTAAAAATCAAAAGTTCTTTCTGCTCTCCTTTTGACCCTGCCATCTCCTACCTAAGATAAAAAAGGGGGAAAAGGCAACAGAAGGAAAACGCAAATACCTTGAAAAAAAAATGGAAGTGCAGAGAAAAGGATCTGGAACCTACAGGAAGAATAGTATTAAGGTTTTCAAATCTTAAATGAGACAGAAGGTGTTAGCTTCAGAGCCTGCAGCATCTCCCAAACACCAAGAAAACAGGAAAGAATTTAGGAGAAAAAAAGCAGCAACCATTTCCATTTTCTCCTTCCAACTTAAAAGCTTTTCTCCACCTCAATTTTTTTGCAACATAACTTACTGATTTTAGACCTAGAAATAACCACTTTAAAATTCATGTGTTCACTGCACATTAATTCTTTGTCTGTTTGACTAACAGACGATCAGAAGCTGTTAAGACTATACCTCCACAGCTTCACAGGTAAGGTGAGAATACTAGCAACATTGAAGAGACAAGTGGGAATGCAGAGAGAAAAATTTTATGATACATAAATATACTGTGCATAAACATACATATTTCATATTTTTCTATGTCTAAATTGATTGTTAAAGTAAGGAAGGCCCTGAATTATAAGAGTTTTGGCTAAATCCATCTTCTGACAATGCTTAAACTCCATTACATTACACTACAGAATTTAGGCATGAAGCCTTCTGAAAGGATATTATGATGCTCCTTTGAAGTAAAGAACCAGCTATCCAGAAAATAAGCATCTGAAGCAAGAAAAAGAACATGGCACATTCATATCTATTTTGACCCAAATCTAGGCTAAGGAATTTGGAAATTATCACTTCATCTGATGACTCTTATACAGAGTATTTTGTTACAAAACTAAGCAATCTCAATGTAATACTGCTGGTTACAGAAGCTTCTGTAAAATGGACAATGATTATCTTATTTATGACTAAGTCCAGCACTTGGTTTTAGATTTCTTACCTGACCCAATCTAATGCTGCCTGGGAAATGAAAGAGGAAGGAGGTTGGTTTCCAGATAGTGAAGGCAGGAAAAGCTTGTTATCATTTGCACACAAAAGCTTTTCAGAAGTCAAAAGATAGAAGTTGCTTGAGCAGGAAAATACTTTCTGCAGGCAACACATAGTTCATCCAATGACCAGCTCCTGGGCAGAACATTATTTGTTTATACCATCATGGCAAGTGATAACTGATCAGTGCTGGCTGTCCTTAGAAAGGCTGTACAGGACACACTGTGACTTTACAATGAGATTAAATGGCACAATTAAAAACTAAAAACCTCTTGCATCTCAGCAATCTTTCTCCCATTTTTGCCTTACGGTGAGCATGCTTTAGTCTATATTAGCAAATTACAATTTTCCTAAATCACCAGTAATGCTTAAGTAGTAATGTATTTAGAAATACTGGGCAGTTTTCTATAGGATAATAGAGTTACAGGTCATTTAAGTTTGAGGGGCTCTTTTATAACATTTTATGATAATTAGACCATATCTTGTTGCATTTGCTATGAATCTTATTATTACTTCATTTAATTGTTTCAATATTTAGTATAGCTTAATCCTAATTCATCTGTTTTACTGGCCAGGATGACTTGATCACTCAGAATTGCCATTAGTCCATAAAAACATATTTCACTGTGGTTGCATATTCCAAAATAAAACCTTGAATCAAAAAATTTCAAAACCTAATCAACTTTAATCTCTGTGTCTTTACTGGCTGGAACATAATAATATATATAATGGGAAAAGTTAGTAACTATATTATGTACCTAAGAGGAGTTAAAGTATATATATCAAAAGCCAAAATGGCAATTTATAATACCCTTATAAATTATAGCATTGTAGTGTTGCTTTTTTCTCTGTTTTCCTCATTGTAATAACTAGGCACAGAGCAAATTGAAAAGCAAAATATTCCATAACACTGCCATAATTGGCAGATATCCTAGCCTCCCTCCCAAATATAACACTGAAACAACTACCTTTTTGAAAGATGAGCAACCTACTCAAATGCACACTTGTTCAGGAATGCAAAGGAGAACTTCTCTTAAGTTGCATTCATTCATCTTCTCTTAATGTTGCATTCATTACCAGCTTGCTTGACTAGCAACACTGGGAGCTCTTAAAGGCAAGATGAGCAGCACTCAGATTCCACCTGTGCATCAGGTGCTCAGTAACAGAACACCATAATGTAGGATTTTATGGTCCCCATTGCTGCAGAAATAATAAGGAATCAGCTTACAAACTTACTGTGGCACACCACAGGAAACATCCCACCTTTCTGATCTAGTTTTTTGTTCCAAGAAGGAATGTAATGCATTATTGGGGATCAAATACCCTCAATTCTTGTAAGAAAGCCATTCAATTCTCTGTTCCTCTAGTCTGTTACCAAGTAAAGTGGTACATTTCTTTAGATGTCTTCCCTCCTCATACAGAGAAGGAGTTTGCTATGCTGCCCACACAGCAAACTGCAAACTCGCAGCTGACAGCAGAATTAAGATGAGGGCATAAATAAATAAGGAAATCAAAAATATGAGAGCACAGAGGAGGAATAAAAAAAAGAACGTGAAGAATTGTACATATGTAATAACTGTATAAAGCCACGTCAAACACCACAGCTGATGTCTTTGACTTGCCCAAAGAGCAATATAGTCATTATGGCTTAACTCCAGCTTTTAATAAACACTCCTGAGCTGGAACACTACTTAGTGCTATTAGGTAAGCTAAAGCAGCCCTAGTAACCCTCCTAGAACACCAATAATCAGTTTCTAAGGTCCCTTGTGTCTTGATTTCCATGGCCTGGCTCCTGTTGAAGGGCACATGGAGTTTTCTGTGGCAGTACAGATCCCAAGTCTACTATAAATCATCTTTTGGCTACTTCAGAGGTGGGAAGGGGATGGGCTTGTGAGGCCTGAATTACGGACTTTTCCTTATATTCCAGTGTCTCATAAACAGAAGTAGGTTAACAGAACTGACTAGCAACCTCCATCCTTTAGTAATAGCTACTGAAACCCTCAAGCCTCACTTATCACTCTGCTGAGGTGAAATTCATCACTGAGATGCCAAATAAGCAGTGCCTCTGCAGCATCCCATTGCATGGCAGTACCTTAGAGGAACAAAAGAATTCCCTCTGACTTCATCTGTGCATTAGCACAGACCTTAAATTTTCTGTGTCTCTTTACTAAAAAAAACTGGTGAAAAAGAAAAGGAAATGCAAAAGCACATCAGCAGTATTTGCCAGTAAAACTTGCAAACCATCTACCGCTCAGTTAGGACTTGATCCAAAGCCCACCGTCAATGGGCTGAGGATCAGATCCTTATTCAGCTTTTGGAGCTAATTCATCTTCAAACTGACAATTGTATATTTAGGCTGCAGTCTCTCTATATATCTTATTTGCCTCAAAGCTCTGTCCAGTCAAGTTTTGAATACATACAAAGATCGAGATTACACAGTCTCTCTGGACCTCTATGTCACTGTTTGGCCATCTTCATGATGAAAAAAAAAAAAAAATTATAGTATCTTAGAAATGTGGAACTTTGACTTTTTTTTTTCTTCAAAATCACATCAAAATCTGTCGTATTTCACAATGCTCGCAATAAGAAGGAACAGAAGCAGATAAAGAAAGAGCCATACATTGAAAAGAGCCAAGAATGGAAGACATTAAATCAGCTTAGGTTTGACTATGCCAAAACAGATGTAGAGCTGAAACCTGTTGACTTTTATGTAGACGTGCTCAGAGAGTATCTTGCTGAGAAACTGCTCACCTGATCTCGGGAATATGGAGTATCCACTATGCGTTTGTCTGAACACGCTGCTAGAAGAATCTTCATTGCATTTAACTGGAGCAATATTTCACAAGCCATGGTATCAAAGAAAGTAATATTGGCAAGAGCTGCTGAAGCCAGCAGGAAAACTTCACCAGATGAGGCTTCTTGACACAGTTCTAGGAATGCAGGAAATAAGTTGAATAAAAGTCATTCCTTCATTGCAAAAAAAACATAGTTAGGTGGTTCAAAGCAGTATTTAAGCATCTGCAACTTGCATTAGTAATTTTAGTATCTAAGACCAAGTTCATAATCACCAAGATAAAAACGAAAGCAAAATGAAGAAAATCACCTCAATTTTATCAATTATATGTCACATTGTTAGGGTGCTTTATAGGTGATAATAACATTAGGCACCTTCATGTGAACCACAAAAGCAGGGAAAGATGGTAAATATGAACCTAGACACCAAGTGTCTTTAACATTCATCTTATTAATGAGACGGTCTATCTAGTATACCATCCTACAGAGAATATTCCACTGAATGTTGTTCAATATAAAGCTTGATATAACTAAATAAAATTAAATACAGGAGGCAGAAGGCTAGCAGTAACTATTCCATGACAGAATAATTCTGCTACATATCCTATTCTTTAGAACAAGATACATACACACATTGCCTATCTCTAAACCTGTTTCTCTATTGTCCAAGATCACCTTGCGTGTGTTACAGCTTCAGTAAGAAGTGCTGAAGGCACAGCTCCCTTTCAATCCCGTGCACACACGTATTTTAACTAAGATCTGAATCACCTGGCAATTGGATTTCAGCATGGTTTAAAAATTAAACATATTACAGTAATTCAATTACTGAGTTATAAATATTACAAGGAACCTGGTGTGTGACTACTGAAAGGGCTCTTCTAAAGTTATACATGTTTTATTTTTCATGCTCACGTTTCTTGAGCAGGGTATATACTACTGAAATTCTTGTGGAACTGAAACACTGACAGTCGGGGAAATGCTCCATCTGCTAATATCTTCTGGAGAGGCTGTTCAGATTGTCCCTTGACTGTGGTACACTGTGATAACCTGGAAAATCATCTTAAATAACTCAGGTCAGATGCCTCCAGCAGTCTAGCTACAGCAGAACCAAGCTCAGCACAGGTTAATTCCACCCACTGGATTCAGGGCAGGTTCAGGGCAGAACATTCAATATTTGTTGCTGGACAGTTTGGTCATCAGGAATAAATTGTTTACTTGCATTCTATAGCATTAGTTCTGTTTGGGAGTGTTGAAGAATGCCTAAATAAATCTCAGATAATTCCCAGCCACTGCAGAATTATCAGGCAGTGGCACTACTATACTCTTTTCTTGTTCTATTAAAAAAAAAATAAAATTGAAAATCGAAGTGCTGTAGTTTAACTGTAATCATTGGTCTCAGTAGAGAAATATCCAGATGTATTGATGCATTATACATGAGAAATCAAACTAGGTGACCCAAACTGTACATTCTGACATGAAGCTCTGGGAAACTCTGAATTTCCAGATCAGAGAGAGGAAGAGAATTCTTGACTGAAAGCTTCTGATATTTGAGTGGGGTGAAGCACAGTGCCAGAAATAAGAGATTCCTCTCTTTAGAAAGTACTGAGAAATATAATCTTATTTTTTCTGAAGTGTCCTCACTGAGGACAAGCTTCTTTGCTTTTCTATAAGCTTGCTGTTACCTTTGCCTCATTTTATCATGGATCAGAAGCCTAGACAAGAAAGTCAGATCTTTTATTTTCTTGTAACAATGCCCATAGATTATACCATACTGTACTTTTTCTCTTAAGTATCATACAAATGTAGATGCAGTGGTGAGCTTGAGTTCTAGCAAGTTTAGAAAGTATAACAGGCATAAAGGTCAGCAACTATTTGAAACTGCTCTTTTATGGACAAACATAGGACAAGAAGACACTTTGCTGAGTCTTTTCTGTGGCTCTAATGGTAGAATTTCACCCAGATATTATTTTGACAAATACGCATAAATTCTACTCAAACATTGAGTTAAAAATATTATGTAATTGCAGAATGCCCTGATTCAGAATTAAAACCAAGTTCTTTTTTCCTGTTAAGGAAAGAATAGCAAACATTATATAAGGAATATTTCTAATGCAAGAGAGAGTCCTACCCCAACCTGTAATTTTAACTGGAGAGACTCAGAAGTCCCATAAGGAACTTACTGACAAGTGCTGTTACAATTTCTTCCATATTTTCCAGAAAGCTGCTGAGATGCTGAGTGAATGTGAGATGTGGAGATGTGATCTGTGCAATTACTGCCGCTGCTTCTGCATGAGTAGCTTCAGAATGGGTGTTATCAGTAAGAATGTCAGCCAGGCACAGTATCCCATCAACCTATGGAAAAACAATAGGTATAGATTGGAAATACTCCAGGAAATACTTTTGCAAGCAGAGTCTACAGTTCTCTTTTCTTGGCGATGGCTAAATTATTTAGTTTATATTCAAAAATGACTTAAACTTGGTGGCATTTATGACATAAGAAATTTCAATTTAGCAAATACAAATGGGTTCAGCATAAATGTTTGTTAACCAGAAAAAAGTTTTGTATTTCCTTCTCCCTTAATGTTTGTGCTGAATTGATTTTAGTCAAACAAGTCTTGTCTGACAGAGGCCTCAAGTTAAACATTAATCCAAAAACAATCTGTGATAAGCAAATGCTAACTGGTGCTCTGACACAGCCTCAATTAAGCTCTTGTCTGAGTGTGTCCCACTGCGAGACTCAAGCCTGAGTGGGCAGTTAAGTTCTTCACAGACATATTTTTTGCCCTTTTTTTTTCTGAATTTGTCACAAAGCCAATGCAGGATCAAAAGATACTATTAAGGAGAGACCCTGGCCAAACTGCACGTGATGAGCTTACACAGTGCTCTCAGTAAAGCTAGGTCCATATATCCCTTGCTTACTTGGAAGAAAAACAGAAAAATGAGTAAATTGTACATGCTTTTAGAGTGTCTGAAGTGTTCTGGGCTCGTTCCTTACCCAGTTTAGGCAGATACATCATACACACACACACCTTGCTCTGGATCGTAGGAGACCCACTGACACAAGGTAAGGCTGCAACAGAGCATAGCCAATGGCATAGCTTAAACTGCAGAAACAAACCATCTGTAACAACCAAAGCCAGCAAAGGAAGGTTCTCTGTAGGCAAGGAGATAATCTGTGTACTTTGAAATTAACAGGACTATGTTTCTCCCCGTGTTTTAACATGTCCCTGAAAAATTCATCATATTATCAAGCAGACAGCAGATGTGCTTAGAGGGGACAGAGCATGAAGATCTGTGTAATTAATTACGCACATTTTTATGTCAAATGCACAAAAATTCACTAATTAAAATCTTTATAGAAATGAAACTAATGTAACTAACTATAGGGACAGTTTACAAATGATGAGAGTTTTACAAACTTCACTAACTGTTTTAAAAACTGGCCTTATTTATGTACTTGAAGTTCTGAAAAAGTGTGGTGTCAAATGCTTTATATGTTGCTTGGACACTTTATAGATACAAAGAGAATTTAGGAAGGCTTAGCACTGAAACATACTTTAACAGTCAAACAAAAACAAATCCACGTTTATGTTAGTACGCTCACCAAGACCTTTTCTTAGGTGTGTTGTTCAGACTGCATTCTCTGGCTATTCAAAGCTTCCTCAGAATATCCACATTAAGTCCTACCCATTATCTCCACAAAGGGTATTTAGCAAATCTCTTATTCTCGTTTTTGTTATTTATTAATACAGAATGTTGAGTTATCTTAATTACTTATCCTGAAATGGGCATGAATTAAATTATTTGATAAGCACTGACAGTTACTGTATTTTACAAGAAAAACTCTCAGATTGATGGGAGCAAAAAATACCCTCTGGAAGATCATTCATTGGGATGCACTTTTTAATAGGCAATAGACTGTATCATTGGAACTCTAATAACATAGATAAATACAAAAGAAATTATATCTCTATTTTCCCTCAGATTACAAATGGGCTTTAGTATAGAAGCTCAAGTACTGGCAAGAAGAGGAAGAATAAATTTTCAACATTAAACTTTTTCTTGACAAGCTTTCAACATTAATCTACCTACAGCAAAATATTTCCTCCTAGTTATGGCAGAATTCTACAGCTTGAAACAGCAGATTCACATAATTCACTTGGCTTCAAGGTATATTAATAGATCTCAGCGTCAAGAACTAATATATGTCCTCACAAGAAGATTTAGTAGCCACAGTAGACAATATCATATGCAAAAACCCCCAACTTTGTCACCTTGAAACCTCCCCAGGTCACACCTTGTCTACTGTCCAAAGGATGCTAATATCAACAGTCAGTATAAGAAGTTAAATATATTTCAAGGCATTCAAAAAATGCTTCACAAGAAACTTCTTCTAAGACCTGGTAACAGGATACAGCACTCTTCAGCTCTAAATTTACTGGTTAAAATGCACTTAGTCAATTCTTATTCAATGACCTCGACAAAATGACTTTAGTTTTATGCTATTTCAGAACAAGTAATGGCTTATGAAAGACAGGTACAAGCACATGGTTAGATTTTTCCATCACCACTGATTGTTTATATCTACACTATAAAATACAAGCTTCTAACAATACAAGGGCTATACTCAACTTCAAATTACATATTTGATTTTTTTTATTTGGTAAGTAATTGTTTTTGGAAATTGGGAGTTGCTGACTTGTAAATAGAAGTGGATATATGTTTTCATTCAGCATAAAGATAAAGTATATATTTTGGATCCATGAAACCCAGCACTAGTTAGTTTTTCTCCTTTCTATTCAGAATCATGTAAAATACTAACAAATTCAGGCTAAAATTTGCTCTGTACACTTTCGTCTCCCATCTTAAATATAGAAAAAAAAAATTCTACTCCAGCAGCCAACCCCATTTATAAGTGTCTAGCAATAAATTTTTAAATGACAGGGGAACAATCTAATAAAAGCACTTTAACATCCAAAAAGAAATTGCTGCTCAAAGCATTTTTATAATTAGCTTTCACACTGAAAGGAACTTTGGATGGTTGCCCTGTTTTCTGTTTAATTTTGGTGAAGCAATCAGCTAAATGTCAAATCTGTTCATCACCTTGGCAATACAAAAGAACCAGTTAGCCAGATAATGCAAACAAATGAATTCCATGAATGCAACAAGATGCTGTGGAGCCCTTGCATTTGAGGAATGGCGTTCAGTAAATGCTTGCTCACTAATATTTCAATATTGATAACTGGAAAAATGCCAGGAATGTACATCCTTACGAGCATAGCCCTGTTACAGAAACTTAATCCAAGTGACAAAACAAATATGTGACTGCTTTACTGCATAGATCAAGTCTCTGAAAGGAAATAACTTCTTTTCTTTGCAACAGCAATGAATGAGTTCTGGGGCAGCACTCTTCTTCCTTCAGTCTACCTGTTCTCCCTCCTAAAAATGTTCAATGAAACCAGACATCTGTTAAAGATACCAATACAGAACTTGGGAGGAATTGCACTAATGACTTCTCAATTTGAAATATTACACACAACAACATTCTTAGCTCTCTGCTTCCCACAAGGAGGTTCAAGGCAGGCTTTCCATGCCAGTCTGGGAACCAAGACCCATTGCTTTCTTTTTAATAATGTCTGGCTTCATTTGTATAAAATGCTGCTGAAGGCTTTTTCTCCTACTATGACTTTGTCTAACATTCCTGTTTGCCCACTCTGAACACTCAGATGATCTCTACATATTGGTAAACTTTCTTAAAGGTTTTTTGGTTTGGTTTTTTTTTGCATTCTCTAAACGATCTCCTGTCATCTTGCTGAGATTAGAAAGCCTTATCAGCTGATTTCCCACTGTCAAATCCAAGAATAACACTATCAGTCTACAACTGGGTGCTTCTGGTAAGAAGCACCAGCAGGTTCCAAAGCAGTTTTAAAGGAAGAATGGAAGGGAGATGATGAGATCCAGATATAAGACAGCAAATGTGGCAAAAGAATCACAAAAAGGATTGCCTCTTAAACGTTATCTTAACCTTCCCAGGAGGGTAGAGGAGAATTTAATAAGCAGAGTCTGCATCAAACAGTCAAGAACTGACAGATCAGAGTTCCGTTTGCTTTATCTATTCACCCATGATCTGTATTAGCACCTCCAATTTGAAGCTAGGACAGGCTAACTATATAGGTGAAGACAAGAACATTAGCAGACTAAATAGAAACTGCATAGCTGGATAAAAATCCCAACATATTAAAATTTATGAGATGAGGAAGAGGGAGACAGAGAAGGAAGGAAAGAAAAATGATCATATTCAGAATATGTTTGAATCCCCTGCTCAGCATTCTTTGAACACAATCTACTTCACTTCCCAGACCATCGCATGAACCATGAAGCTGCTTCACTATTATGCAAATCCAGTGAAAATGTAATCCAGAAGAACCCATATACTGTTATTTTGATGACTCATTACTCATGATCATCAAGTCTGAGGTATACCCTATGTCAACTTCTGTAACTCATTCTGCCCCTGTAGAAGGCCTACAAGTTGTGTTTAATTTCTACACTGCAAGAGAGAAAGGGAAAAGGATGGAAGTATTCTGCCTTGCACACAATGATCTGTCGTATTTGAACAGTTGCCCTGCACAAGTGCTCTGCAGATAAAAACTGTCTTAGCTCCACTAACTGAGAACTGTGATGATTCATACCAGTTTAAGATTTGGTCAGCTATTTTTAAAGTGAGATGGTATCTTAATAGGGTGACGGCATTAAAATGTCCACAAATACTATTCCAAGTAATCAAAGCTACTGCAGCAACTCCATGGCAGCAGCAGTGACCAATGAACAAAACTGCAATGATTTTTGTAACTACTGCTGTACAACAGTGGCCATGGGACCTAATTTATAAACCACGTTGTATACTCTACAGACTAGTGTGGGGCTGAATAAAGGTTGAATGGTTCCCATCTTAGTAGCTTTAAAACTTCTGGCAATAACCTCAGCTTTCTATCTAAATTGGCCGTGAGTGGGTAATTCTGTTCATGGCAACTTCAACGCTTCCCTTTTTAAACTTCCCTCCTTCAGGATGCAGTCAAGCTAGTGAAGAGGTATTTGTTTTTCCTTCTGTTTAGCCATCAAGGGGCAGCATGAAGATGTTCTGAGCTATATGAGGAATATTGTTATATAGCATGAAAAAAAAATCTTAACCTTTTCTCAAAGAAAATAAAGGATATTTAGCTGTATCAGCTTGAAGTCTGCATTAAACATGGCAATGCAGAGAGCATCAGCCTTGCAGCCATGCTGCAGGAAGAAACAAACTGCAGAGCAAGATGAAATAACAAGTTCCTTATTCTGGGCTGACTTGGGGT